CGTATCAGAGGCTTTCCTAAAGTACAGGTATATCATATCCATCATCTTCCTCATGCCCACAAAGCCAGTTACCTCATCATAGAAGCTAATGAGGTTGGTCAGGCATGATTTACCCTTGGTGAATCCATGTTGACTATTCCTGATCACTCCCCTCTTCCAAGTGCTTCAAAATGGATTCTTTGAGGATCCCCTCCATGATATTTCTGAAGACTGAAGTGAGGCTGACTGGTCTATAGTTCTCTGGATTGTTCTTCTTCCATTTTTAAAAGATGGACACTACATTTGCCATTTTCCAATCATCTGGGACCTCTGCTGAGTGCCACAAGTTTTCAAAGAATGGCCAAAGGCTCTACAATGACATATGCCAACTCCCTCAGTACCCTCGGATGCATTAAATTCAGACCCATAGACTTGTGTATGTCTAGCTTTTCTAAATAGTTCTTAGCCTGTTCTTTCTCCACCGAGGGCTGCACACCTCCATCCCATGTGTAGCCTAGTGCACTAGTCTGGAAGCTAACCATGTCTGTGAAGACAGAAGCAAAAAAAGCATTGAGTACTTCAGCTTTTCCACATCTTCTGTCACTAGGTTACCTCCCTTATCCAGTAAAGATCCTACCTCGTCCCTGACCACCCTTTTATTGCTAACATGCCTGTAGAAACCTTTCTTGTTATCTTTCACATCCCTTGTTAGCTGCAGTTCCAATTGTGCTTTCACCGTCTTGATTACACCTCTGCATTTTTGAGCAATAAATTTATACTCCTTCCTGGTCATCTGTCCAAGTTTCCACTTCTTGTAAATTTCCCTTTTGGGTTTAAGTTCACCAAGGATTTCACTGCTAAGCCAAGCTGGTCGCCGGCCACCTTTGCTTTTTTTACTGCGCATCAGGATGGTTTGTTCCTGTGCCTTCAATCATGTTTCTAGTTCTCCTGGACTCCTTTCCCCCTCATGTTAGCATCCCTGGGGATCCTGCCTATCAGTTTTCTGAGGGAGTCAAAGCATGCTTTTCTGAAGTTCAGGGTGTGTATTATGCTTCTCTCCTTTCTTCCTTCGGTCAGAATCCTGAAATCCACATCTCATGATCACTGCTGCCCAGGTTGCTACCCATATCTGCTTCCCCTGCTCGTTCTTCCCTGTTTGTAAGCATCAGGTCAAGCTGCGCCTTGCCCCTGGTTGGTTCCCTCAGCACTTGTACCAGGAAGTTGTCTCCTATATTCTCCAAAAACTTTCTGGATTGTCTGTGTACTGCTGTATTGGTCTCTCAGACGTCAGGGTGATTAAAGTCCCCCATGAGAACCAGGACCTGTGATCTAGAAGCTTCTCTTAGTTGTCTGAAGAAAGCTTCATCTACCCCACCCACCTGATGTGATGGTCTGTAACAGACACAAACCACATCACCACCTCTGTTGCTCCCACCTCTAAACTTAACCCGAAGACTCTCAACAGGCTTTTCTCCTTCTATATACTGGAGCTCTGAGCAATTATACTTCTCTCTTACATACAGGGCAACTCCTCCCCCTTTTCTCCCAGTTTATACCCATCCATGACAGTGCTCCAGTCATGTGAATCATCCCACCAAGTCTCCATTATTCCAATCACCTCATAGCTCTTTGACTGTGCCAGGGCTTCTAATTCTTCCTGTGTGTTTCCCAGGCTTCTTGCATTCGTGTACAGACACCTTAGGTAACTAGCAGATTGCCCTACCTTCTCCATACGAATCAGGGGTCATCCTTTGTTGCTCCTTCCTCTTTGTATTTCTTCCCAGTATCCCAATCCCCCCACTTACCTCAGGGCTTAGATCACCATCCCCCGACAAACCTAACTTAAAGCTCTCCTCGCTAGGTTTGTGCGCCTTCCCTCTCTTCATTAGGTGAATCCCGTCAGTCCCTGCTCCTAGAACAGCATCCCATGGTCGAAGAAACCAAAGCCGCCTCTCTGACACCATCGGTGCAACCATGCATTCACTTCCAAGATTCGATGATCTCTATCTGGACCTTTAAAGTCTTGAAAAATCCCTGCCAGCTCTGTAAATTGTTCCCCATTATGTGGGGTAACTGTTCTATATGGAGTCCCTGATTCAGATCCTACAGAGAATTGCCAACTCTTTTGGTATTACAGGTGGGACCTCCCTGGTCTGGCACCCTCGGGGCATGAGCAGTCCTGAACAAGAAGTTTTCTGGACCAAGCAAGGTCAAGGCTCCCCACTCTGGCCCTTTTCCCTTTGCCCCAGGCCCACTACCCCCAACCCTGAGCTTCCCCCACCCAGGGACAGGGCTACGCTCCCAAGCACATTGACCCCAACTGGGGCTCTGCTCTCGCTACCGGCCCAGGCTACACTCCTGGGCTCCAGTTCAGGCTGTGCTCCCGGGTGCTAGCTCCCCGCTACCTCTAGACAGACATGGCTGTGCTCCCCACTGTGCCTGCCCCACTGCTACCATGGCTGTGCTCCAGGGTGGGGATGTGCTCCCCACCACCAGCCGCAGAGGGAGCTGTGCTCCCCACCACACTGGCCCTGCTACCACCAAGGTTGCATCCCTCACGATCAGCCTAGCCCCTGAGCCTGACCAGCCTTCTGGACCATGGATGTTGCTAGACCAAACAGTCCCAGATTTTAGAGGTGCAACCTGTATTCAGTTTTGCTTTTTTTTTAAGTTTACTAATGCTTTGCAGGAAAGGCCACAGCTGGGGTGGGGAAGGAAGACAGAATTTTCTCAGTAGCTTCAATCTTTGCTGGGTCCCATATGATCTGACTCCCCTCTTCCTAGGACACACACTGCCTGCAAGTCTCTCATATATTGTTTCAATAGGAATACAGCCCAGGGACCAATGTCAATGTAATTCTCCATTATCAGTGGAAGCGGAGTAAAATGCAGCCCTGCTGGAGTTACTGCCATCTGAAATTCCTTCCACCTTTTTGCTCCAGGGAGTTGCAAAAGTACAGCATGAGCTTCGCATAGATAACGATTAAGGCAGATTCCTACCAAATTAGTCATCTGTGATCCATCTGTGACTGACAAGTTGAAGAGAGATATAATTGGGTGTTGGGTCATGTTAAGGAGCAGGCTTATGACACAGACACAAACATGAGCTCTGCACCTGTGTTATCATTCTAACATGTAAGAAGATCCAAGGTAGTAAGTGCTGATGCAGTTTCAGGATGAGGATTCATGCAGTAACAGGATATTCCTTACAGTTGTTTTGTCATGTGCTGGCTGAAATGGAAAAGATTAACACACCCACTTAAAGACGGAACATGTGTCACTTAAGAGTTTCAGAGCTTCCCTTGTTGTAATTGCAGAGGAAGAAATATTCCCAAATTGACAAGACTAGGGACACTGGTCATTGGATAACTCTATGGTTAAAATTTAATGTTCTTCGTATATAATGTGGCCACGAAAAATCACAATTCACTGTATAAAGTCCACTGTGAATAGTTCATACTCATCCATGGTTGGACCAAGTAACACCTTGATGGTCAACCAATGTCCAAGCTTGAACTATAAGTGTACAAATATCTAATTATCTGCAGTGTTGCTCCAGATGCTCCAGAATTGGAGCCCCCGTTGTGCTAGGCACTTTGCATATACAAAGAAGAAATAGTTGGTGTCTGCCAGAAAAGGCCTATGAACTTATGATGAGAGACCAGAAATGGATACAGGAGCAGATAAGGGAGCAAAAGATAAGAAAGTGATATGACTATTATCTAATGGTCTGTAAGTATCTGCACAGGAACTAAGTATTTGATAATGGACTCTTCAAATTTAGCAGAGCAAAGAATAACCTGCTCTAGAAGTTGAAGGTAGGCAAATTCAGACTGGAAATAAGTAGTAAACAGCTAAAGAAATTAACCATGGAACAACTTTTCAATGATGGTGGTGAATTCTCCATCACTGACAATTTTAGAAAAACTTCCAGGCTTGGTTTTAAAAAGATATGAGATAGGTGTTATTTTGGGGAAAGTCTATGACCTGTGTCCAGACAAAGAACAGCGTGGTCAACAAGAATAGATGAGTCAAGGTAAAAACGTATTGCCTGAATATGGGTGATCCCAGTATAAAATAGCATTTTGCACCTAGCCAGGTGTCAAGGATTACAGAGAAATTTCTTTAGAGTGAGGATGGCAAACTACTGCAGGGCAGAATGATCTCTTTGCTGACTGAAAAAAGAGAGAACAATTCTCCACCCAGTTTTCATAGGCCAGTGGTTCCTTTTACTCTCTCAAGATCCATCTACAGACTATAATTAAATCCCCCAAGTACTAGGGACCATTGCAAACTTCACCACACATTCCACTCCAAATGCTCAGTGTATTTTTTTGCTGTATGTATGCTTACAGAAGGAAAGCTCAACGTGTGTGGATCATTAAAAAAAAAAAATCCGAAACAGTCCTCTGCACATATTGGGGAGAGGATGGTGCAAAAAGGTGATAAACCACAATGATGAACAATAGACGACATCTTAATATTGTCTCATAATCCACCTCCTATTCATAACAAGCAGCAGAAATTGTGTACGTGAAAAAATATTGTGAAAAGTTTTCCAGGCATTATAGTGATCTTTTGTTCAAATATAGTATCTGGAACAAGAAGAGATAGCAAAATAAGACCATATTGCTAAATCTGAGCCATCATTGGTCCGTGACTCTTGGTTTAGGAACCTCTGCTGAAGAAGCGTTTCAGACACCGCCTGCATTACAAATTTAACTTTAAAATGTGGAAAAAATATATTTGGAAGTCTGTCCTTCTAGGATAGCTAGAACACTATCACTAAAGACCATGCTAAGAAACCAGAATGCAAATGCTAGATGTTGTTTCCTTCAGATGTTTAGTTTAGATTTTGGTGACAGTATATAGAAATGAAGAATACATTGAAATGTAAAAAAGTGTTTTGGCTCAATGACAGAGGAAATGAGTGTATCAAGAAATAGATTCAGGCAGAAACTGGGTACATTTCAAAAGTAAAACATCCAACAAGACACAAATGAATTACACCAGAAAAAAGATACTGTAGAATTATTTTAATAACACTAGGAAAAGATTGAAGTAGTAAAAACTCTGCATGGGTCTGAAAAGATTATTTTGATTTTGCGTTTACAAGCCAACATTTTTCCAAACATGTTTTTATCCCACAATCCCATTACAATGGTATTTTCCAGTTAAAGGAACAACTATCCTACTTATACCTGATCACCACAACACACATTGTGTGCATGAGTTTTAAGTCTCAATTGAAAGAATGACAGAGAAAAAATGTTGACTGGTTAAGCAGTAACAGTTGTGTTAGCCAGTAAAGAATACATTGCATACATAAAATACAGAAGGGAAAAAAATCATCATCTGGAGTATCTGTGACATTACATTGGTGTTGTTGGCCAATACTATCCCTTTGAGCAAGCAGAACGTTGGTCAAAAGTCTAATGTTTCCTGTACCAGCACAGACATTATGTAAGCAGTCCACTGTTGCTAAAAGAAACCATGAAATCCAGCTCATGTTTCTGATTAAGGGTCAATTTCTTCAGGAACCACTGTTATCATAATATCTTCATTGCCCCTGCGTACAACCATGTTCAGTGTACTGTCCTTTTTAATAATGTCACTCACATCACTGGCTGAGATTATTCCCTGTCCATTGATGCTTATAATCACGTCATTTTCTTTCAGGCCACCACTGAAACACAAAAAAAGGGGACAGGTGATCGCAACTGCTACTTTATCCTCCTTATAATACTATTGAAAAAGAGAACTGAATGCTCACAATTCACCACAAGTGACCTTCAAAGGACTGGATGCTAATCTGAGATGCACAGAATCAACGTGCGCACACAGCACATTTGACAAGTTGTGTGGCAACATGTACTGGATCATTAAGACAAGGGAGCTTTATTACAGCAGGGAAACCTTCAAACCTTTCACTCTCTTATGCAAAGCAAGAGCAATTCCATTTGAGCAATGTTGTATACAGGGGCAGGTACACCGCTACAGACGGCAGGTTCTTCAATCCACATCACATCCCACTCCCCAGTAATGAACCTCTAGCAATTAGCAGGGATGTAATATTGTAGTCAATTAACCAATAAGCAAACGCTTATAGGTTAATGCTATAGACTACATGCACTTCCCTCTCCCCCTCTCCCTGCCAGTACATTTTTTAGCAGGCTGCCTAGCAGCCTGGCTCAGTCCTGGCTTGTGATGGGCCCGAGACCTACCCGTGCTGCAGCTCTGCATTTAAAGTGTATTAGGAGTCGGGGAGGAAGGTGGCCCAACTCAGTCCTGGCTCATGCTGGGTCCGGGACCTTCCCCAGTTTCGGCTCTGCTTGTCAAGTGTATTAAGAGCCGGTCAGGCAGGAAGCCCAGCTCAGCTCTGGCTTGCGTCAGGTCTGGGAGTTCAGACCGCCCCCTAGACAGGCACTGCTGCCACCTGCACTGCTGCCTCTCTATCAGAAGCAGCAGCGCAAGGCAACAGGCAGCCGGTCCATGAGGGGAGCTGGTGTTTAAACTGGCTCTTCTCACGGACCAGCTGCCACCTGGCACTTCACACTGCTGCCTAGGATACCGTAGCTGCCAGCCCCGCCCTCCGGGGATTGTAGACTAATCGACTAAATGATAAAATGTCATGATGTTACACGACTATTTAATTAACCGATATTTAATATCCCTAGCAGTTAGTAGAATATATTTAGAATCCCACACTGGTCTCTACATCGCTTAGATGGCTTATTTACATCTCACATGCAACTCTACTATGATTCAAAACTAAAGCAGAATATCATGTAGATCTATAGCATATTCAGTGGGGTGCAAGTTTTATTCCACCTGTTATTTGTTTTGCAATACCAGCTAGGAGTACCAATTATGGACCAGAATCCTATAATCTCAGATACTGTACAAGCACAGAACAAATAACTTACAATATAAAGAAGCAACCGGTAGATGTAGATGGATGGGGACTAAATAAGTCAGACTGAAGCATTTTACTTCAGATCCTTCACATCCTGCTCCCAGTCCCTTTCATATTTTATACACAAGAGCTGGCTAAGCCTGCAGTTGGGATTGAGGAACAGGAGTGGGGAAGGGAAATATTGCACATACTGTATTGGCTTGCTCGGTCATGCACAAGGCTCTGGCTGCAAGTCATGGAAATATTAACCCAAGTAACCAGATCAGACATGATTCAAGCTTCTTAGCATAATCTTTACACAACCACACAGTAATCATATGCCTCTTCCAGTCACAGAGAAATGTCTTACCCAAGTGCTTCTCTCAAGCTACATGCCTTAGCTAAGATTTTCCAATGATTATTGAGCAGGGCACCAGAAATCATATCATCTTAAATGGACTTTATTTTCAGAGACCAGATGGCGCAACACTTTTTGAGAATATACTCTTTTATGGTGTGTCTAGTTTGGCAACCAAAATCAAAGTCAATTTGGAATATCTTGTGTAATGGGGCATTCCATATACTTTATGAAAATATGCTTATGAATATGATGTAACTGGAATATGCTTGATCACTGAAATATGAAGTATAAACCTGTGTTACCAATTTAGTCATGCTAAGTGAGGGCCATCAGTAGTTTGCAAGGAACTTAATGGTGCAATACTCAGGACAATGATCTGTGAATGGACTTGTCTTTCCTAGGAGGAGAGATTATGGTGACTCCTACCAAGACATGTGGCTCTCACCAAGACAGAGGCAGCAGTGCAGGGCAGCAGGCAGCCAGACTGCACAGAGAGCTGATTTTTAAACTGGCTCCCCTCGCAGACCGGCTTCCATCTGCCACCTCAAACTGCTGCCTCTGCTATGGTGCAGGGTGGCAAGGGGCTCCCTGGAAGTGGGGATGGACATGCACTAGCTGCTGCCCCTGCCCCCAGGGACTATCAAAAAGTCATGTAACCAATAAGATTTCATGCAGTTACGTTACTACTCAATTACACTATATCTATCACACACAATACAAAATGTCAGTGAAAAAACCCAGCCCTAATCAAAGTTCAAAGTATGCACAGGTGTCATCAATAAAGATGTCTGTAGTAGGGGAAAAGAAGGGGGCAATATACATCAGTAATGACCAACAGGTTAATATCAATGTGATTCTCAACACCTGAGGCATTCACATTCTCAACATGACCTCGCATCCTTAATATATTAGGTATCTTTTACCTTTCTTCTTTCCCTTCTGTCTGCTTGCAACTGCTGCCACTGCCACACTACAAAACATCTTTTTTTTTTTTTTTTGCATGGTCTCAAGATGCAGGCTCACTTTTTCATCCCAAATACAGCCAAGTGCCATCCACTCATGTCAAGAAGGCAAGTGCAAACTCCACAGTACAGTACAATTAACTAAATAATGCCTATACTAGTTTAAGGGAAGGATCAGGTTGCAGGCACATATCAGAGCTCTGAATGAGTATTAACTTTCAAAAATGTTAGTTACCAAAAGCACCAGCAACTAATGTTGGAAACTTAACCGTGACTGATTAAGGTTAAAGCATGCAAAGAGTTTTCATTCTGCTGCATAGAGAGGCCTGCCAGCCTGCCCTTTTGTCTTCTTTGAATACAAATTATTAAACACGTGGCACCATGAATCTGTTCTAATCTCTTTCATGCACACATTTCTTTTACCTGAAATGTGTTCCACAATAACCCTTGCTCTTTTCCTAAAAGATCTCTAATTTTGTGTCTTGAATAAGTTCTCTCCTCTCACCTGAATTATCAAATAGGTTTTTTTTATTTACGTATTTTATATTAACCAAGTAAATCATAAGAATTAAATGTGCATGTAAGGTGCTAGATAGACAGTTCTGATGACCAAATTCCTCTGACCATGAAACACATAATACCAAAGCAGCAGCAACACAAGTTTCTCCAGACTACTTAGCCAATATGGGTCCCCAGTTCTGACCCTGTGATGATCTCTAGAAGAGAAAAGGTGCTTAGCCATCATGCCCACTTACAGCTTAACTTCTCTACTGATATTTGGGACAAGTGTTCTATTGTGAAATCCTTTTCGTGATATGGAGGCTGCCCACAAAGGACTGGACTGAAACCACCAACTTGTTTCGTATAAAAGCTGACAGGCGGCAATTGTTTGGTTGATACTGACACTCTTAAAATGGTCACAGGGAAGAACGGATTTTATTAATTCATTAAGATGATGGTTGCTGCTTAAAAAAAAAAAATCATTTCACTTACACTTCCGCTGGCGTATCTGAAATTACTTCAATAATGTAGGCCCCAGAAACAACATCTGGAAAGTCTTTATGGTGTTCCTTCAGCTCTTTAGCTTTGCTGAAAAAAAGTGACACCCTTTTAAAATTTTGACACAAGATCATTTAACTTATAATGAAGCTAAACTGCCAGGACTGAAAAACCTCAGTCATTTAAACCTTCGAGAAGGTACATTCTGCCTACTGAGATCACATACAATGAAGCTAAACTGCCAGGACTGAAAAACCTCAGTCATTTAAACCTTCGCGAAGGTACATTCTGCCTACTGAGAAGGTACAATTCAGTTCATATTCTTGAAGCCTCAACAATATTTTAAAACTTTACACCTATTTTATAGCATACAGATTTCTTAATACAGACAACTATCTTCCACTGACAACAGATAGAGTAAAACAGATGTAACAAAAAATCAGGCCATTATTTGTACATATTCAAGTGTAGCTCCTTGTCAGGTATACAGGCAGTCCCCGAGTTACGTGGATCCGATTTATGTCGGATCTGCACTTACGAACGCGGCTTTTCTCACCCCGGAGGATGCGGGCGGCGGGACCGCCCAGACATGCCGAGGTCCCGCCGCCCTTGTCCTCCGGGGCAAGAAAAGCTGCTCCGCGTCTCCCTGGTCTGCTGGGGGGAACCATGCAGACCACGCGGAGCAAAGCCACGGCGGACCCGGGCGGCGG